ATGCGTTGAAATGACTACATGAATATTTGCAACAGTAAAACAGGAACCAACTATGAGATTGCCAGTGTAGACATCGACCCGAACCAGTGGAGTCGTTTAAATAGCAGGTCGGATGCAGAGGTCAACATGTATAGCAAGCTCTGGCAATATCACCACCACAAAACTACACAAACTCGTTACAACCTCGAATGAAGTAGATATATTTATTATATATTATATGTTTATACAAGCATTCAGATAACTATCAATACAAGATAACTATTATATACTTCTTGTACAGATTTAGCAACCCAATACACCAGATTTGCCCCGTCTACTAAGCGACGCATCACAAGAAAAGATTTTGCGGGGAAATTACTCCTTAACTAGTATATATATATATATATATATATAAGCTTGCTAAGCAACTCTCAGTTGCCCTAGTCAATACATCTAGCATCTGAAGGAGTCAAACAATTTTTGCTTCAGTCCGCGACAATCACATTAAACTAGTCTTTGATGGGTCATTTAAAAGCTAAAGTGAAGTGAAAGAAATGAAACTTATGCTGTCGAATCCCCATCGATTTTGCTTCATTTATAGCGTCCGACACAGCAAAGACTGTTGGAGAATAAATACCCTCGGCAGGTCTGCTAAAAATATAATCGTGAAGCGTAGTATAAACGGAATATATTTAAAAAATTAAATAATCAATTAGCCAATTAAAAAAATAACACTGCTAAAGCTGATAAAATTAAATTGGCAGCACATTCAGCGAAGATCCCGGCCCCATAGCGCAACAATAAAATCGGGTGTGTGCGCGCACGAGTTCTAATGCGTTAGAGACAACGGACGCCTTGGACGCACACTGCAGTACAGACAAGCCAAAACACTACCGGCATATTCAGCAATATGCTCGTTAAACATCTACAAATTGTAGCTAATTAAAATATATACAACAGATTCCACCGGCGCCGACTACACAACTACCAACGTTGTTACACGCGTAAAAAATGTATAGAAATACCATGCACAGGACCTCGACACATGTATGATTCACATGCAGTATTGTGGTGCGCTTAGTTGCTAACGCTGCCCCAATAAAACGCTATATAGTATTTACGCTACATGCGGTATCTACATGTAAAATTATAAAGTAATACACTGGATCTAGAATGTATTATGAGCAATGTTACGAGGATAGCCTGATGTAGAGTGCCAGTATATCGATGCACTGGAAGAGCAAAGAGGCGAACTAATTATATATATATAGCCTTTCACGTGGGAGGCAACATACAAGGGCAAAGCCTTTGTTCCTGCGTAAAACCATAAACACAACTTACACGTTGGCGATGCTAGCTGTGGTAGTACATGGGCTTTAACTCGATGGAATATATATATAATATATATATATATATATATCGTACATATATATATAGACTTATAATGGAAATAGATGCTCGCATATATATGTGGAGGCATAGAAAATAAGTTACGACGATATAGGAATATACAGAATCGGGACCATGCTCATACTATATGCGTATACAGGCTGAATACAACATTCGAAACGAATACAATCCTGTATCCATCCGTCCAATGGCTACGAACAAAACAAACCAATAAACCGGACCGTTGCTCCTACTGCTGCTGCACAGTATTACAATAACGTTAGTTCGCGTTTTCAATAACGTTCGTTCGATTTTTGTACTTTATATTAATTAACAAACTTTCCACACGCGACCCGATTCAAGATTTATTTGGTCCAGAATGTTGCGTCACGGCATAGATTCACTAACGACAACATGCGTTCGTCTGTCCCTGCTTCACCTCTCCTGCCCGTCCACGCACGGCCGTTACCTTACCACACCTGTAGCGTCACGAGATAACGAGCGGCAACTTCAAAGAATACCTGCCGACAGGTGACGTCTGCCGTGACGTCACCCAGGTGTGTTTTAGCAAGAGTAACCGCAGTGCATGCTGCTAACACATGCTCGCTCGCAGCACGCACAGCTAGACACAGTACATGTGTCCGTACGTGCGTGTGCTGCGGCCCTGACAACGGACCCGTTATGACTCACACGAGCTGCTGCTGTTGCTGTTCAAATAGAAACCCGAGTGCAAACGGGTCACGTTCACTATCTGCAATATCTATGTGATATTTCAGTAAAACTGGTACTAAACATAAATAATAACTTAATCGGATGCGAGAGTAATGGTGAGTGACCGAGTTAAATATTCAAATGTTTACATTGCCACGGCAACCTCTCTCGATTCTTAACTTAATGTCGCAGTGAAATGTTAACAATACCGACTATAATTTATACCCAGAAGCACGATAAAAAAATATGATTGAGTGTTGTATACCAGCTAGTACCATGCATAGCCATTATAACAGCTAGTACCATGCATAGCCATTACACCAGCTAGTACCATGCATAGCCATTACAACAAAGCATATAAAAAAAAAAATTTTAAATTCTGCAAAATTGAAAAAATATTACTGGCAAATGTAAAACTTGAACTGAAAGTACGCGAGCGAGCTGCGTAGCTTCGTTTCTACAACCTTATTAGCCGGCTGCCGACTATGCTGATGATAAACTAATGCATGGAAGGAGGAGATGAGTGACAGGTTCGTCACAGTACAGAGTGCACACGAGCGCACGTTAGCAGCTGCTGCTGACAGACATCTGAGATCACGAGAACTCCATCTATCTGTTCGTCGGGTGCGTGCACGCCACAGGCAATAGGTCACTCTTACCACAGCACGGTGTCACGTAACATGTTCACACACAGAGCAAGTCGTTCACACCTCTCCTCTCTCAGGATTACATTCAAAAACATCACCTCATAGACAACTACTCATCCGGGAAGAAAGAAAATCGGAGCTGGTCTTACAATTTCACTCTATTTACAGGCCATACGTCACGTCTCAAGAACCACAGTAACAACGGCATGTCGATACAACAACTCGCAACTGCATCCATCCCAAATCTTACACATCACCATCTAGAGAGACTATTCATCCTTGGTCAGTGTGTGTTCGGGGAAGAGATGGGAGGAAGATTCGATGCAGTGAAATGAAAGCTAGTAGTTCGCGGCGGTGCGAGGAAACGCGGTGATGGTCGCACACCACGCGCCCCCCTCCCTCCACTGACGTCCCGCTTCCAAAGGTCGCGCTCTAACCTCCGTGAGCAAGTCTTCTCTCTCTCTCCCGCGCGCGAGCCGGCAGTCACGCACTCACGGACGCACTCACGCACGCACGCACGCATGCACTCACGCAAGCACGCACGCACGAGGGTTGTTACTCGAGGCACGAGGATGCTATGGTCACACCGGAGCGCGCGGCTCGCGGCGGCCGGGGCGGCGGCGGCGGCGGTGCGTCCCCATTGTTGGCGAGCATCTCGCCGGACTGGTCAGACTTGCTGTCGTCCTCCTCCTCCTCGTCGTCCTCGTCGTGATAGTGGGTGAGGTGCTTGGGAGTCTCCGCGCGCAGGTGCGGGACGAGACTCACCTTACGATGCGTCGCCACCTGAGGCAGCACCTGCTTCAGCAGAAACAACAACATGAGGGAAAAACACAACAACGCGGACGAAGCGCAGTGAGGAAAACACAACGTGGCTGCGTGTGACGGAGCTAGTGTCACCATAGTATATTAATTACTGTTATGTGTGACGTGGACTGCAGTGAGTTGAGAGCAGCGTGGATTCGAGACGCGAGATGTGCGTGCGTGGGATATGCATCATGGAGTTAGCGAGTACACCACATTAAGGTGCAGGTACAGGTAACAGGTACGTTACAGGTAATCTCCCACACCGGTGAGACTAAAAACGAGCGAGTTTTCTAAACGAGTCCGAAACGAGCATGATTTGGTAATTACGAAGGTTCTAATACATTTTATCGTTACTCTAGGCAGTTGCTGTTACTCAAGCAATAACTGTAAGTGTGATAAAAGTGGGTAAAACACAAGATTATACTCGAAAATATGGCTTTAAGGTGTTACATTACAGGTATCCTGTGCTCCCCCTCCCTTAATGTTGGTCAACTAGCGTAGCGGCACATCGGACAAGCGTGGCAGAATGTTGTAAAGATGAATGGTGTAAGCTCGGTGAGAAACGAATCGCGGCTACCATGTCGCGAACGCGCGTGTACCTGAATGTTGTTGACGACTGGTTCGGCGACGGTTGACACGTTACGGGACCGCGATGCCAGCTGCGACTCTTTCTCAAGGTCGTAGTTACACTCCATGTGGTCGACTGTCGACTCGTGCGGCATCTGGTGGCAGGAAAAGAAAACAATCGGGTTAGTATTGCATCGACAAGAATGAATACACGGACAAGCAAACCGCACTGACGCTCTGGTATCCAGCACTCAACTAGAAAAGTCCTAACCAACTTGAATCCTAACAAAAAACTCGTATACAAAACATAAAAAACATAATTACAGTACTGTGTTGACATTTAACCATACATAATGCCATAAGTGTGCTGAATGACAGAGCTTTTAATGAGACCAGTAATTTACCTAGCTCACTTCATATTTTCCTACACAATTAAAGGACAATTGAAGTCAAATTTCATAACTTCTGTAACGTTTTTATACATAGAAATACATTCAATGACGTATTCCATTTCAAATCCGGCGCCCAATTAGTAATAAACACATGAATAGTAATCTAGTTCATGTGACGTCACGGCCCCATGTTGAGCGACGGACGCCTTGCTATCGCAAGTTGAGTGTTGTGTATAAGATGGAAACAGACGGCGATAATTTCAATGATTCTAGTGATTACCGGTACTCAGATGATGATGATATTTATAGTGATTTACCAGTTGGATATAGGTTTGAGCCTGAATATACACAAGAAGAAATTGAGGAGAATAGTCTGAAAAAGCAACGCAAAGAATCGGCACAAACTTCTCAAGAATCAGAACAGTCACAACATGGCGGAATGGAAGCGTCGGTACCCGATAGGACTGTGCCATATGGTGTTTTGTGTGTTTGTGTTAAATGAGTACGGAACTGACTGTATGATGCTGCCATGAGAATGAGAATACCAGGGTTATTTGTACGACTTGAAGAAAAAGAATTTGAGATCATTTAGATATTTTTGGAGAAGTTCCGGAAAATATTTAGGCGCCATTTTTCGAGATATTTGTTATCGTAAGGCTTCTCCAGCTGCACCAGCGCGTGCCAGTGCTCGGACCAGAGCTGAAAAAAAACATGCTCCAAGCAAACATGCAACATCGTTGTCAAATTTTTCCATGCAACTGAATGGGAATATACCCTGCGGGCTGTATAACTGTATTATAACCTTGCGGCTGCGGTATGCAGAAATTAAGCCTAGATATCGATACAGATCCCGCAGGCGGAATGGTTGGGACATGCGTATTTATGTTTCGTCTGTCAACGTGTGTTGTCGTCGTCATCATCGTCGTCGGTCGTCGTGTCGCTGTCGTCGTCTGTCGTTCGTCGTCGTCACAATCGTCGTCGTCGTCCCGAGTCGTCGTCAGACCGATCGTCGTCGTCGTCGTCGTCGTGCGTCATCGGTGTGTCACTCACAGTCTAATTGGATGGAGCGCGGAAATGTAGATGAAGCGTAGTAGGCAGGTTGAGGAAAGGATGCGGCCATAGATGTCGTGGCAAACATGCGTCACCTGACCGGCGGAAAGTCTGGCCGCGAACACTGCCGTGCAAAAAACACGTTGCCGATGAACGAATAAACGAGCAGAGATTACATGTCACGACGTGCGATCAAGTGGCGAGAATTGTTGTCGGCACCGAGAGCTAACGACGGGTGATTGGAACGCAGGCGTAGATTTAAACGGTCGCAGTGGCTTAGGTGTCTCACTAACCGTGTTCCAATCAACAAGAGTATGACAGTCTATGACGCGTGATTCACACGACGGCTCTCTCTCTCTCTTTGTGTCCCGTTAACATGCGCTACCCCCACACAAATCTACGCAGTCTCCTTCATTGTCGCACGCGGCGGCACAGTTGCCTCGTATGAAATGATGTTCTAATGTTTAGTCCCCATGCACTACTAAATGAAAGGTTGTAACTCAAGATGTGCCATTACACACCAACTTCGTGAATGGTTACTATTGGACTATTACAAGATAACCAGCAGTAATGATATGCTACTTACTAACTACTACTAATAATGTTCTGGTAAGGTAATATTATTTTATATGTACAACGAAACACCTCACCATTCCAGTAGTTTATACCTTACGCGCTACACTATTTTTCCATCCTCACTACACTTTCTCACTATTGCATCCAACAGATTTTTTCTCCATGAAAAAGACCATTTTCAGTACATGTATTTGTATTTTGAAATTATATGCAATAATAACACAGTAGTTAAATACACTGTTTATACCTACACATAGTCATTCACAGTAGTTTGCAGTAGTTGCACTGTGGTTTATACACCGTGGATTAAGGACAGACAACAATAGGCACTGATAGAAGACCATGGATTAAGGACAGACAACAATAGGCACTGATAGAAGACATGGATAGGACAGACAACAATAGGCACTGATGAAGACCATGGCTTACAGGCAGACAAACAATAGGCACTGATAGAGCCGCATGGATTTAAGGGAGAGACAACATATAGGCCACGATGGGAAGAGCAGAGGGCCGTTTACCGCTGGGAAACGGCTTCCCATAATGGCCGATAGCACTATGTCCATCTCGTGGATCCGCGTTGGTATCTTCTTTGGACCTCGCGGATATCCGATCTCCCTTAGTGGTGCATGTCAGATTCTGCCGAAGAAAGTCACGTCGAGCAGTTTATAAGACCTGCAAGCATCGGTTGTTTCAAGGCAATGGGAGTACACCTGGACCACACCATGCCTTGCAGGCTTGGGCACGGCACTATAGCTCGTAGCTGTGTGGCAAGCAGCCATACATCGTCATAGACACGGCACTCTTTGTAATTATTATTTATATAATTTAATGAATTGCTCGCAGGGTTCTCTCGCCCACTCTCTGCTCACACACTCTCCTCTCTCACACACACTGACTTGGCAGAGTTTACTAATTAGCGTAAACATTTCTGCACTGCCATCAGTAATGGGAAACTAGGAATGCTAGGTAGCTTCTGTGTAGGTAGCGGCCGCTCTCTCTCTGCTCTCTCTCTCTCTCTCTCGTCTCTCTCTTCTCGCTTCTCCTCGTCTCTCGTGCTTCTCTCTCCTCTCTCTCTATCTCTCTTTCATCTCTTCTCTCTCTCTCTCTCTCTCTCGTCTCCTCTCCTTCTCTCGGCATGAGTGCGGTTGCGTCCTGGCCGCTCTCACTGTATCAATGATGATAGCGTACTGTCAAGGTTCTGTGCTGTACGTAGAGTCAGTCTGTCGTTCACACACGTGCAGAACTCAGTGTTAGCCCGGTACGACCAGGAACGTTTTCCAACGCTGTAGAGGGTGAGAGAAGTGAGTGAGAGAGAGGGTGAGAGAGAGGGTGAGAGAGAGAGAGAAGGGGGAGAGAGAGAGAAAGGAGAGGAGGAGAGAGGGCGAGAGAGAGAGAAAGAGGCACAGGGAGAGAAAGGGGGAGAGAGATGAAGAGAGAGGAGGAGAGAGAGGCGGAGAGAGCGTGTGAGGAGTGAGAGAAGAGATAGAACGAGAGAGAGAGAGAGAGAAGAGAGAGAGAGAGAGGAGAGAAGAAAGAGAGAAGAGAGGGTGAGAGAGAGGGAGAGAGACGCAGGAGAGAGAGAGAGAGAGAGAGAACAGAAGAGAGAAAGAGAGAAGGAGAGAGAGAGAGGAGATCACAGGAGAGCGTGAGAGGAGAGAGAGCCGTGAGAGTAGAAGAGGAGATGAGACGAGAAAGAGAGAAGAGAGAGCGTAGAGAGAGCAGAGAGAGAGAGAGAAGAGAGAGAAGAGAGAGAGAAGAGAGAGAGAGAGAGAGAGAGAGAGAGAGAGAGAGAGACGAGGGTTGAGAGGAGAGGGAGGAGAGAGAGGAGATGAGAGAGATGAGAGAGAGAGAGAGAGAGGATGTGAGAGAGGAGAGAAGACGGGAGAGAAGAGGGGAGAGAGAGAGAGGCGGAAAGGAGAGAGAGAGTAGAAAGAGACGAGAGAGAGAGAAGAAGAGAGAGAGGAGAGAGAGAGAGGAGAGAGAGAAGAGAGAGAGCGGAGAGAGAGAGGGAGCGGTGTGAGTGAGAGAGAGAGCATGAGAGGGAGAGCAGAGAGACAGAGATGAAAGAGAAGAGAGAGAGAGAGAGAGAGAGAGAGAGAGAGAGAGAGACACACATGTTAAACAATTATCATCTTGGCTTGCATGATATAAATACAATGATACGCAATGTTTGTTACTGTCACCGCTCGTAGTTTCACTCGCGATGACAGCGGTATCATAAAACAGACATACATACCTCTGATCTTTTTCGATTTGAGAATGTCACCGAATATGTGATCACCCACATACAACACATCCTTGCCTTTAGCACCAATCATGTCAGAAAAGACATTACATGAGCCTGAAAAACAGTGCATGAAGTTGATTCATTCCATACCAAGGGTTGTATAGGTACCACACGACAGAGGGATGCAGACGTTATCACACGAACAGCACATGATAAGGATTCAGGAATAAAAACATAAATGCGAGTCAACATGAGATTAATGGTTAATAAACGCGGTTTGACAACGAAAAGTGACGCTAACCCTCATTAGGAATTTAAGAATTATTAAAACCAATCGAGTAAATTTTTGACGAAGTAGTTTGTAGCATCAGCTGTCGTGACTGCATATGGTTTTACTTGGATGACTAATTGCAGCCTAGAAGCAAATAATGTGTCTAGTATAGGGAATACTGTATACGCTATATTTTTCGCGTACAGATATTTTAGCGAATTCAGACTTGGCGGACAATTTCGCGAGTGGTTAATTTCGCGGTTGGCGAATTCACAAATCAGTGAAGAACAGAGTGTTGTTATTTTTGCGGTCGGGAACATGTTCGCAAAAATTCGCGAAAATTAAACCACCGCGAAATACACAGCGTATGCAGTAGTTGAGCTAAGAATGGAAGGTGTTCGACGATGAAGCTCTATGTGAACATACCTCCTGAATAGACGTGACCCTTCTTTAGCGGTCCGATATGTGATCCTATTCGCAGAGCCCCGGTTTTCTGAAAAATAAACATGCAAAATCAGAAAGATGACGTTTCAGAAATCATTTGTTTCTATTTTTACTACTTCCAAGTTCTGCTAAAATATTAATGAACAGAATGCTTTTAGTGGAAAGGAATTCCTTTTATCTATCAGCAGATTTTATGCTGTCACACATTATCTGCTCATATAACACATTTGAAAATTTCATTGATTACGTGTCGTGACTATAACATTACGAGTGTGTTGCATATCAAACTAGAGCACTCGGAGAGCACAGACCTCCGCCAAGGCAGCTGAATTCTGTTACTGTGAAAAATTTAATTAATTAATTAATTAATTAAATAATTAATTGGATCTGGATGACGACCAAAATGTAATCAATTCTAAGTTACCCGATTTCTTACTGGTGTTCTTGTAGTGTTTGTGAATTAATGAGTACGGCAACTGAACGTATATGCTGCCATGAGAATGAGAAGACCAGGGTTATTGTAGACTTGAAGAAAAAGATTTGAGATATTTAGAGATTTTTTGGAGAATTTCCAGAAACATATTTAGGCCATTTTTCGAGATATTTGTATCTAAGCCTATCTCCACTGCACCAGCGCGTGGCCAGTGCAGGCACCAGCTGAAAAAAAAACAATGCGTCCAAGCAAACAATCAGTGCAAATTTGTTACCATGCAACTGAAATGAGGAATATAACCCTGCGGCTGTATAACTGTATATAACCTTGCCGCTGCGGTATGCAGAAATTAAGCCTAGAAATCGTACAGATTCCGCAGAATGCGGAATGATTGGAGACCCTGCGTATTATACATGGTTTCGTCATGTCATCGTCGTAATCGTCGTCGTCGTCGTCGTCGTCGTCGTCATCGTCGTAATCGTCGTCGTCGTCGTTGTTGTTCACTCACCAGTATTGGAGGAGCGCGGAACATGTAGCTGAACGGGTAGTAGAGCAGGTTGAGGAAGGATGCGGCATAGATGTCTGCAAACATCGTCACCTGACCGGCGAAAAACGTCTGCCGCGAACCTGCCGTGCAAAAAACAACGTTGCCATGACGAATAACGCAGCAGAGATTACATGTCACGACGTGCGACAAAGGTGCGAGAAATTGTTTCGCACGAGACGCTAACGACGGGTGATTGAAGCAGCGTAGATTAAACGGTCGCCGTGCCTTAGAGTTCTCACTAACCGTGTTCCAATCACACAAGAGTAATGACAGTCTAGACCGTGATTCACACGACGCTCTCTCTCTCTCTTTCTTCCCCCTTTACATGCCCACCCACCCACACATCCAACCAGTGTCTTATTGTGCACGAGCGAGCACATATGCCCCGTATGAAATGATGTTCTAATGTTAGTCCCCCCACTACTAAATAGAAAGGTTGTAACTCAAATGTGCCATAAACACCACTTCGTGAATGATTAACTATTAGACTATTACAAAGATAACCAGACGTAATGTATGCTACTTACTAACTACTACTAATTATGTCTGGTAAGTAATATTATTTATATATGTATCAACGAAACCACCTCAACCATTCCAGTAGTTTACACCTTACACTCTACACTATTCTCAACCATTCCAGTAGTTTACACCTTACACTCTACACTATTCTCAACCATTCCAGTAG